CACACACATATATACATATATACATACACATACATATATACATGTATATATTCGGTAAATACATACTAAAAACAAACATATAATGCTCAACGATGCTGGAATAAACATCTGCTCTAGACTTAAGGTTGAGCTTTTTGTAAGTGTAATAAATGATTTTTATAGTGTGATTTAAAATTATACTTTGAATTACACTCACGAATAGGTGGAGGAATGTCGTTTCAGCACCTAGTAGCTATATATTTGAAACTACCTCTAAAAGCTGCAGAACAGTAAGTGGCGTTGGCAAGTGGGTTCGTACAAGACCTGATGTTTTGTCGATTTCTCCATATAAGTTTACTATATAAATATAGTGGCGACTTAGTTTTCACAACATCAAACAGTAAATTAGCTAGGTGTAGTTTCTGCCGCGCTTTCATTTTTAAAATGCCTGCTTCATTGAAAAAAGGTGTTACATGAGACCGTTTCGGTATTGAGAAGCAGTATCGTGCACATGCATTTTGTATACGTTGAATTAGACGTTGTGACTTTTCCAAAATACAGGGTCCGTACACTGCAATGCAGTGGTTTAATTTTGATAGAACGAGAGATTCACACAGTCTAATTCTTAAGTCCAGCTGAATATATTCGCGGATTCTGTATAAAACCTTTAACCTATAAAAGCAGTTGCGGACAAGCTCAAGTAAGTGTTTGTCAAAACGCAGTCTGCCATCCATAACTAAGCCGAGGTTACGAGCTTCACTTACACCCTCCAGAGAGACATTTAACGACATGATTTTAGGGTTTTGATTCTCTAAAAAAATTATTTGGTTTTTCGATCCTAAAAGCATATACTTAGTCTTTAGTGGGTTTAAAACGAGGGAATTTTTTTGTGACCATATTGCAATTCGATTCAGGTCCTCATTGATGTTACTAATTGTAGTATGAAATTCAAGCGAATTGCAGGAAAGATACACTTGTAGATCGTCAGCATAAAGGTGGTATTTGCAAAAATGCATGCAATTAGTTATATCAGCAGTGTAAATTATAAATAACAACGGTCCTAAAATAGAACCCTGTGGGACACCTCTATTAAGTGGTCGTTGTTCAAAAAAAAGGGAAGACCCATTCGGTTGACTTAATATTACTTGTTGTGAACGACCGCATAAGTAACTTTGAAACCATTTTATGGAAGATGTTACGAAACCATAAAAAGATAGCTTAGACAGCAGCAAATCTATGTTAATAGAATCAAATGCCCTTGAAAAATCAAGCAGGGTAAGGATCGTACCTCTACCATTGTCTTGTGATGTAAGAATATTGTCAACCACGTCGAGTAAAGCAGTAGACGTGCTTCTACCTTTTTCTAAATCCCGACTGTAAGTCAGGTAAAATATGGTTAGTATCACAAAACTTGATGACTTGATTATATATAATTTTTTTCTAAAATTTTAGAAAGAAACGGCAGTATAATTATTGGTCTTAAGTCTTTCAGATCCTTAGGATCATTGTTTTTAGGTAAAGGACGTACGAGAGCTATTTTCCACCAAGAAGGAAAATTAGATGATTCAATCGACTTATTTATGATTGCTGTAATCACTTTTAACGTAGCCGGAAGTGTTAAGATGATCATATCCCTACTCAATTTATCATACCGTGAGCATTTGATTTTATTGATAAAATAATCTTTGCAACATATTCTTCACTTACATTATGAAGTTTAAATTCATTACACCCAAATATATGAAACTCATACTCAGTTAAATCAGAAATGGTTAAATTATTATTCCCGGGAACATTAAGAAAATGGTTATTGATTATATTTGGGTCGTCGAAAAACATAGGAAGTGCTGTGGATTGCTTAATGTTGGGAAAGACGGACCGTTTCAAGTTCTTCCACAGTAATTTGGGGTGGTTTAAGTTATTATTGATTTGATTATTAAAATATGCTTTTTTCTCCCAGTATATACTAATGTTTGACAAATGTTTCAATGATTTATACTGAATTTTATCGCTTTCAGAATTAGTTTTCTTAAACTTTTCATAACTTTTATTCCGAAGTGTCATGATAAACCTAACATTGCTAGTTAACCACGGTGAATTTCGATCACGTACTGCTATAGACTTTTCAGGTGCAAAGATGTTAAATATATTTAGTAACAAATAAGTAAATCTTGATACCATTTCATTGACGCAATCTAAGTTAATTACACTTTCCCAATCTACTGAGGCAATCATATTATCAAAGTGAATTAAATTTATTTCTTTTATAGGTATATAATTTATAAATTTTAAATGAGGTTTGGGTTTAATTATTTTAAGGGTTGCCAGAATCATCGCATGTGCTCCAAGATCATACACACGGTTTACTTGTATACCCTTGACTTCAGCATCAGTACAGACGAGGTCTATTAACGTCTCGATGTGAGATGTAAAATGTGTGGGTTCTGTAACATAGTTTCTAAGACTAGTGTAATGTAAAAATTGATGAAGTCTCAAGGTCATATTATCACTTTCATTAAGAATATTTATATTAAAATCACCCAATAACACTACTTTGTCATAACAAGAAAAAGTTGCTAATGAATCAGTGAGAGCGTCAAAGAAAGTATCAACATTTACCCATTGCGGTCTGTAGGCTGTGCCTATTAAAATTTTAATCGAGTTAATGACAAGTGATACCCACATTTGTTCAACTTCACCATTCGAAGAAGGATGTAAACAAGTACGGACTGGAATACCACTCCTAACATAGAACCCAACACCGCCGCCACGACTTCGCATGGAAGATGGACGGGGAATATGTTTTAGGGTATATCCGGGTATAGACGGTGCACGGCCGGACTCTCCGGTCCTAAGCCATGTTTCATTTATTGCCATTAAATCCGGTGACAATCGCTCCAGTGCAACCTGGAACTCATCATGGTTAGTGCCAAGAGATCCGGCATTAAAAAGACCAATTTTCAGATATTTTGAATTATAACTTCTAGAAAACTATAACAGTAAATAACAGTGAATCTCCAGCCCGATTATTATAAGCGAATACACTCGACCGATTAAGAATAATATTAGAACCTTATACGTTACAATTAAAAAATATAAAGACACACAGAAGCACCTAATGTAGGTGAATATTATTTTTATATACCTATTAAAATAACACGTGATAAAAATGTTGGGTATTGAAGGACTACGGTTTACTATACACACATAATATGCAGTTTCATTTGCACACGAGCACATACTTATCATATAAATATTACCGACGTACGGCAATACATATTCAGAAATATATTCATATATATATATATATGTGTCGTGTAGCAGGTGAAATGATAATAGCATTTTAAAATTATATTTCGTAAAATAAATATTATGTTGGTAAAATATTTTTGATGCTTTAATAACGTATATCAAGTGAAAGTAATAAACAATTATCAAGAATACTCTAATTGGTATAGGTATTCCCATCATTCGTTCAATGAACAGTAGTATAAACCCTTTCATTAACACACATAACTCGACACACACCTCCAATGGTAGAAACGTGGTTATGTTAAGTATACTGTTAAGTAAAATAAGCGGGTTGGCCAATAAGAAAAAAATAAACCATGTGGCCGTGGTAGGAAAAGGGGAGATCTCCCGCCGGGCAAGGTGTTTTGCCCGGGGAGCGGCCGACACTCCGAGTGATAGTTCGGAGAAGTTCTATATATACTGTCTATGATTCGGAATGTTGATAGCGTGATTTAAGCTTCGGTGTATTTCGCTTGTGGCGCGACGACAGCGCCGCTACATCACCCCCCTGCTCAGACCGGAGGTAGATAGTACAGCCTCGTTGCCGACGAATGTGCAAGTGCCAGGAGATTGCCTTGTAGTCTGCGGTGAGTAGAGAAGAAGGCAAGTAATCTGCGAGAGTGCCGTGAAGCAGAGGCGAGCAGTAAGGCTCAGAGCCGTGCCGAACACTGTATAGCGCAGAGAGTAGCTTGAAGGAACAGGAAGCATTATTATTCCAGTGCTGCGATGAACCTTGTGAAGCTAGATGGCTTGCAGGATATGAAGACTGCAGTTTATATCTGCTCGGGAGCGAATGGGTGGGGTATTCTATGACGATGATGAAGCTCGAAGTTTCCGAAGGTTGTTTGGTTGCGTGTTCAGATCACGTCGGGGTCACCACTGTGGCCGTGGTAGGAAAAGGGGAGATCTCCCGCCGGGCAAGGTGTTCTGCCCGGGGAGCGGCCGACATTCCGAGTGATAGTTCGGAGAAGTTCTATATATACTGTCTATGATTCGGAATGTCGATAGCGTGATTTAAGCTTCGGTGTATTTCGCTTGTGGCGCGACGACAGCGCCGCTACAACCACATTGACATTAACATTTGCAGTAGTAATGAAGTTACATTTTTGTAAATAAGTTCAGTTAGCACATTGATAATTGCACTAAAATCAAACAAAATTATTAAAAAACCTTTACAAATAATACAGGTAGAATGCCAAAGGAATAAAATAGAAATTATATAACTTAAAAATAGAGATAATGTGGTTACATTTTTGTAAATATGTTTATGTAATACATCTGTAATTTCACTAAAGTTAAAGAAATTTATTAACAAATCTATACAAAAAATAATACAAGCAGCATACCAAAGGAATAAAAGAAAAATTATATAACTATAAAATAAAGGTAGTGAGGTAACATTTTTATAAATAAGTTCATTTAGCAAGCTTTTAATTACACTTAAATTAGACAAAATTATTAGCAAACCAATACAAATAATACAGGTAAAATGATCAAGGAATAACAGAAAAATCATATAACTAAACAATAAAAGTGATGAGGTTATGTTTTTATAAAACTGCTTATTGATAATAACACCAAAATTAAACAAATTTATTAACAAACCTACGCAAATAATACAGGCGGCGTGTAAAAGCAATAAAAGTAAAATTATATAACTTATAAATAGATGTAAAACTTTAAAATATATATAAAAACATGTAAATTTTTTTTTAATTGGTTATTTCGAGTTATTTTCTGATGAAATCACCAAAAATGCGTTCAATGTCAGCAATAGATTGCAATTGGTATATTTTTGAACTATCACTTTGTCTAGCAAATATACGCCCCTCTTTAGTCCAAATGTATTTCCAATTAAGACCTCTTCCAATATCACGTGCTTTTCCAAATAATTGTCGATTTGTACTAGTAACTCTCTCATTGAGATAAAAAGGTCTAGGTTCATGTGATGGGAGGCCAAGATCTGCTGTTGTAGCCCCACGGCGAACGCGAGCATTTCGTAACATTTCGTCTCGAATAACTCGACGAGAGAGGCGTACCACAATATGACGATGATGTGAAGGACGTCCCAGGGCTTGAGTTTTTAAATCCGAAAGGCGCTGACTTTTTCCCACTCTACTGGCGCTAACTATGTCACTCTCTTCGAGCTGAGTGCCCAACTTCGCTGCTACCGCTACAACGATGTGTTGAACTGATTCGTTGACATTTTCCGGGATACCAGAAATCTCTAAGTCATTTAATAAAGCCTGTTGATCACGCTCATTAAGATTAACTTGTAACTGAGTTATGGTATTACGCAAATCCTGATATGTGGAAGGAAAATTTTGGTTTTTTAAATAACACAACTCAGCCTGTAGTTTTTCATTTTCATTCTCTAAAAGAGATATTTTGTTACTGAATGCCGACATGTCACTCTTTACCTCTACTAGTTGAGCAGATAAAAAATCTGTAGTCTCCGTAAATTCTTTTTTGAGTTTATCCACTGCTATATCAAACTCTTGCTTAATCTCCTTAGTAATTGAGCTACGCATATGGTTTAATTTCGTATCGAGAAGGGAAGAAATTTGCTCAAGGGAGATATTAATACATTTATCTGACTGGCATTGTAACTTACTACTGCTGATGATCGTATTAGGTTGCTCACTAGATGGCGACTCATTAAAATCCCCCCTGACCCTGAATAATATCCTCGTATGACATGTCAGTCTGGTTAAGCATTGATTCGAATTGTTTTCTAACAGGTGTGTCGTCTTTAATACGACGTGATGTTACATTCACACACGAAGGACAGCACCATGTACGCTTAATATCATGATTTTTGTTCATAAACTGAGCCGTAGTAATATTTAAGCATTTATAATGATAAGTCCCCTTACAGCGTATACAAACCAATAATTCTTCGCGACGAATCACCTGAGAACATGCTAAGCATTTCATGGTTTTGTATTATTTGTATAAATAATTTATGTAGATAGCAAGCAAATAAATCCAAAAAGCAGGTACTCGGTAAATAAACCGACAAGCCAAATACACCCTTGCTTAGCGACAGGTCTTTGATTAGATGCTTGAGAAAGCAAGATGGGCTATGCGCAAGTACAGGTCAACGACCGATACAAGCAAAGGATAGGTGACGTAACTCTCAGCTGACATTCACGGTATAAACAAATGCACATAATTAATGCACTTTATGGTACACTAATACACTTTGCACAAAGTATTAAACAAATTAATTCACTGTATCTTACTAAAGCATAAACATTAAATAACAAAATATATTGACTTCAGAAACGTCTCAATAACTTTTCAAGAGTACTAGGAACAAAACTTCAACGGATCGCGCGTGACTCACCTCATAATCATTTTCTGATCGGCTCGATTCACTGTCGTTGCGTAGGGATGTTGCATTCCTTTGCGTTTTCTATCGTATCTTCCATGGGGAGTGTTCTGAGGATTTGTTGGGATTAGTTCCAGCCGCCACATTTCACGAACGCACATCACGTCTAAATTTCCGATACCATCCTCACCATCTGGATGCTTAGCGGTTCACTACTGTACGTTTTACTAGGAGTTTTTTTCCTCGTACAACTTTTCAGTGGAATTGTTTACCCCGGCTACTTTTCCGGACCGATACGACTTAGTGACCTTCAAGAAAAGAGCTTACTCCTTTCTAAAAGGCCGACAACGCATCTGCAATTCCCCTGGTATTGTAGTTGTTCATGAGCGGTGGTAGTCACTTAACATCACGTGAGCTGCATGCTCGTTTGTTCCTCTTCGTAAATCAGCACTTAAAATTGCAATTAACAATTTCATTTGTGCCGGCTGGGATCGAACCCGGGTTACTCGCGTTCTGTTAAAAAAGAATATAGAGAGTCAGTATAATTACAGGTTGTAAGGCATTGTAATTTAGTCCTCAGATGTGGAAACGCATCTGTAGCCTTCTTTGTTTGAAGTTGGTTGCAGGTGTGCAAGGAATGCAGAAGTTATTTACTATCAAGTGGACTGTAAGCTCATTTGTCTCTTCAGTATATAAAACTTAAAATAAAAATTCGTTACGAAAAATACTACTCAAAAGACAGCCTTCTACTAAAAGTAAGATTATTGTGCATTGTATACCCTAAAAAAGTTCCAGAAAATATACAAGGTCTGTTACCTATTACTAAGTTTAAATATTTTATTAAACAAAAATTGTGTAAAAACGGTTATTACAATATAAACGAATACATGGTTGATAATAACCCCGGAAACGAGGTGGTCGCTTCCATTTTGTTAAAAAATAAATTTTGTAAATAGTTTGTTTGTAATGCTGGTAATTCCCAAGTGAGAGGCTTTCTCCAAGCCAAAGATAATAATATAAATTAACTAAAATTATTTTGAAGAACATTAACGTGTGATCAATAATGAATAACAATTATTCTACTCCATTGTATTCTGCTCCGTAGTACTCTAGAGGAGGCCTATGTTTAGGAGAAGATAGATGATTAACAGAAATAACAAATAAAAGCTTTATGATAATATTTAACAAATAGGATTTTGACAAAAGCATTATTTTTGGTATAATCAGTAAAATTATATTTATAAAATGCACTAAAATATTAAAGATACGTCGTATATATTTAAGTTCACGACTATATATTTATATAAAATTCTGGAAAATAAACTTAAATATATTTGTTTCTTAAAGTAAAAGCTAACATAAACTTTAACCCATTATGAGATTATATCATAACGTTGCAGTGAATATAATACTTTGAACAAAACTAATTTTACGAATTTTTTTGCGTTGTATTTTAATTTATTTTTAATTCCCAACGTTTGGAGTACTTTACAATATCCACGGTCACGGGGGAAATAAGTTGGTTAACGTTCTGATGTCATAGTTAACTTGAGCTACCTTTAGTTTTAAAATAATATTTTTGACCCAATTTACGCTGAGTAAAATAAGAAAGAAAGTAGAAAGTCATTTAATTGTATTTTTTAATAGAATTTAGGTAACGAACGAACACAGTCTACCTGATGGTACCTGGATGGTGTGTCCCATGGACTTTTTCAACTACCCTCGATTAAGAATCCAAATGCAGATACCTAGCGTTGTGCATACCCCTGAGGACTGTTTTTTTACACTTACTTTCCCTCAAGACCCCTGGAAAAACAAGCAGATACAAACTTTGAAAATGGCTAATCATGTCTTAATGGCATAAAAATAACCCCCTGAGCTCATAAAGGGCAGTATATTTCGATATTGTAGTGTGTCACTTTTATATATATATATATATATATATATATATATATTTAAAATCAATATGACTACTTCACACATCTGAATTTTAAAAAAACTTAGCTATCATAGACTGAAAAGCTGTTTTCAATGACATAATTGAATTACCGTTTCAATGAATCGCCGTTGACGCTATTGGTAGCTATACAGCTGTAATTCAATTGGATCAGAAACAGTATTGATACCTCCTGTTTTTAACCGACTTCTGAAAAAGGTAATAAAACATCGATTTGGCTTCTTCAATTTTGATTGAGAGATTTGAGAACCGATTTTGATGGTTATTTACATTATAGCCTATAGTATATTATTTTATTAAATTGTTTGTAGTAAATGGTTGATCCAATATAAATTTGAAGATAAATACGACTCAAAAGGGTAAAAAAACCTTTTATTAAAAATTAGAAGCACGTCAAAGAAATGAAAATATCGAAGTATGTGTGGTTGCGCGGAAAACCATTCGTATTTTTAATTTTATTCGAGGGTAGCTTGCCAAGCGTTGTCCTTCCTTCGACCTTCCTTCACCTGTCGTCCCTCCGACACACCGGGGTAGTGGGGTGAGAGGGGAAAGAAGATGATTCTAGAATATCGCGTGATTTGAAACAAATGAGAAGCGCGCCCCCCCGAGACGCCTTGGGAGAAGGACCAAAGTATTATAAGCGCGCACACGGCCCTCGTGCTCTCCTCTTCACTTCGCACACCAGTTGGAACCACACCGCCTAGGACAGTCGCGTCCTAGAGGGCTTTGCCCACGCGCACCGCTAGTTCAACCCGCACCAACCTGGGGCAGTCGCGCTCTAGGAGTAACCGCCTCACCTCGAGTGAGATATAGTCGCGCACCGCGCTCTTCCCTCGCACCATCGACCAGGACCGCATCTCTGGGGCCCCAGGAGGTCCGCGAGAAGTCGCACCGCAGCAACAAAGCGTCCAAACCGCATCCAAGTAACACCCCGGTAAGTGCGCTTCCTTATTTACGTCCCCTGCTTGAGTAGTTGTGTTTTATTAGTTCATCCGCCCCAATTTCATTTCTCCTAATGTCAATCAAGCGGGGTTCCTTCATAAACCTTGGCAAGCAATAGGTTTTTCTTGGAAGAGCGACTGCATTGTCAGGGAACCGCGTGCCAAATCCGCCATCTTGTTTAGGCATCATCCGCGTATACAGTCCACATAGTGTACCATCTCGCGTAATAGGGTCAAGGCTCGACCGGGGAATTGTGACTCGGCAACCTTAAGGCCCGCCGCTCAACCAATGTGTGTATATAAACTGTTAAATAAATAAATAAAAGAATAAAATAAGTTCTTATTCTAAAGTTGAGATATTAATTTAGTGTTTTGCACTGGTCTTTTAAATAATTAATCTGCTTTGGTTCAGATAATTTATTTAATTTCTTAATTATTAATTATACGTTTCTTCTATAAACCTAATTAAAATAGACTTTGTAAGTATAATGGGTCATACATTGTAATATATTTAAAATTTTAAATCTAAGTAGATTGTAACAGCAAATGAAACTATTTAAATAAAACTAGTTTTTACGGACTTTATCTCATATATTAATTCTTTTATTTTCCCGACGCGATAAATTTAATATACCTATATACTACCTTATTATCTTTTTTACGGGTTTTATCGCGGTCAATATAAACGATAAAATCCGTAAAAACTAGTTTTATTTAAAATGTGTAGTGTTCACGTAAATATAAGAAATCGTTAAATAAAACTATGTTAATTGAACCGTTTCTATGCTAACGTTCTCGAGTCCTACACACTTCTACTGTTTAATCTTTCCTAATGTTACAAGTATGTGCTACAATTAAGAGTAAAATCAAAAAGTTAAATTAAAGTAACTTTGCTGCGCATTACAGTAATAAACTTGTAATTTTTTTATCGAGTGCAAACGTTTTTTTATAAAATCCTGTCCGAAAAATCTCTGGTGGTAGTCAATCACAATCCACAAGGAAGATCTGCAAGAAAAAAACTTCTTCGCTAAATCACACTATGGTTAACCGCCAGTCATGCAGATGATATATATATATATATATATATATATATATATATATATATATATATATATATATATATATATATATATATATATATATATATTGTATATATATATAAATGTAGGAATGGAATGTAAGTTCATGGAGTGGAAACGGAACGTAAGTGTGTGAGAAGGAGGACGTGAGGTGAGAGAGAGAGAGGGAGGAAGGTGGCCTTTCTTCTTTTTTGGAACGAGGAAGGGAAGCGTGCGTGAC